GTCAATATTAACGTGAAGTTGAATTTCACCATTCTGGGTCTACTTTCGCTGCCTTTTAAAAGGGGAATCTTTTAAACCCAGGGATATTTATGTATCTGGGGATGTGAGGTATGAAAATTTCACTCATGAAGTGTAACACAACTGCTATATTTCGGAATAAAGAAGAAAAAAAAGTTGTTACCTGTTAAATATAACACCTTTTTATTTTAGGAAAAATTATCTGTTGCTGCTGCAGAAGTTAATTGTGTAACTCGAATCTTACCACATTTCTGTATCACACTATTTCTTCTAGTCCTGTTTAAAGTCACACTCGCAATGATGTGTGTGATGATTTTGATCGTTTATGTCTAAGTCAGGAGTCCAAGTGGGCCTCAGGCCAGCTGTGACAAGACACACTGACATGTCAAGATTTATTACTGATGCAAATGTGTGATCCTACTCTAATGGGTAAGTGTCCACATGACAAGAAATACCAGTGTAACTGGCAGATGTTTTAGACAGCCTCAGTGACTAGAAAGCACCCTGAATGCAGCCATCTCACCCTCCAAATCTGCAGTTAAGACTGCTCTGGGGATTTGGAGGTGCAACAGCATTACTCTTCACGTTTCACGACTGCAAATACCCCGCTACCGCCAGACCTGGTCATTCAGCACATTTCATACTATCTTTAAATGGAAATTTAAAGCTCTGCCTTTCATATCATCTACCTTTTCTCACATTACCTTGGGAAGCTTTCCGATCTCTTCCCAGATACCATTTCTAGCTGCTCCTCCTAAGATATTTAGCCTGGCAATAGGATTACTTCCAGGTAACCATAAAATCTCGTTGTCAGTCCTCCCGCCAGCCCAAGGATCTTTAACTCAGCACAGCCAGCAGTTTCAGATTTCCATTTTTTACATTCTTCAGTAAACCTGCCTCCCACAGATTTTTGCTTCTAATGTTTGCTAACTTCACAGCTTATAAACAGCTTAGGTCTGATTCACAGTTCCCCTAAGACTGGTTCACACTGGAAGCTAAAGGGAAGTTAAAGTGCCAGAGGCCCTGAGCGTAACTGAGAATTCAGGCTTTCATTAGAGCATCCTTTGAGTCAGAGCTTTCCTGCTCAGCTGTCTGATGGAACAAGATTCCCCTGTAATGGCTGCCAGGGACACCTAGAGAACCACCTCTTGTGTCATAACTTCATATTTAACAACAGCATTTCCAAAGGTCTAGCAACCCTGCTCCCCAACAGATGATGTTCGTCACCACAGCAAAAATCTATGTATTGCTTTCATCTAGTACATCTTCTCCAGTCCCATTTTCTTCCACAGAAATAACTTCTGGGCATAGCTAGAGTACATGCATTAGTATGATTTATTTTCAGAAAGTATATTACTCATTATGGTGATAGCAGCCAGCATAAACTTTCAGAATTATTTTTAGGTGTCAGAAATAGGACATGTTTTAAGGAAAGGAGAGGTGGGAGAGTGGGAGGGAGAATGGATGTTTAAAAACAATAGAGAGGGTCTGCTGCTTCCAGTATGATACAGTCTGTTAAACTGGAGCTAATGAGAATTAACAGGGATCACTTAAAATTAATGATTAAACACTGTACACATCATTACCTTTCTTGTCCTTGTAAGACTTTTCATGCCACTCCAGCAGGCTGTTTGGGCTGAGGAGGACAGGATTGTAAGGTAACGATGGTATGTAATTCTTCCTTTTCTTTTTGGCTTTGATGGGTTTTTCATAAATCTTATGGACTTTGCTGCTGCATTCATTTGATTTTCTTCTTTCCTTGTTAAGTGGGGAAATGAGACCAACGGACGCCCACATTTGAGGGCAGAACTCTCCCTGAACTGGAGCATTTTCTGCTGTAGCCGCTGCCCTCTGCATATGCGCAAGTGGAAAACTTCTAAACAAACTTCTGGTTTGTGTTATTTAAAAATCTATAAAGGCAGCATTTCAATCAAATGATAGGTACTTTACCAGCAAAGAAATGTCACATAATTTAAGGGTCTGCTTCAGCTACTGTCCTTTTAAGCAAAACTTCCCCTCATATGTGGTTGACAGGCTATCTTAATCCTTGGTTTGTAGGTATAACCTTCCATCTCAGTTTGTAAAGCCAGCAAGCAGCTTTTGACCTGGTTTCCCTTCTTTGTTGGAGGTAGGCATTACAGTAACATGATATAGCAACTACATTTTTAAAAACAAAATCCAAGGTCAGATGGCTGTCACCCAAGGTCAGAAAGAAAGAGATTCAAATGGTGCTTGACCACCAAGGAAGAAAACCTAAGGGTTAAACGTTCAAATTACACAAACCTTGGCAGGAGAGATTTTATTGTTCTTGTGTTGTTTTCACAGGGAGCACCGAATATTTCTGTGAGAACTGAACTTCTTATATCTTTTAGAGCATGTTACTGATATTTTTGCTAGAGAAATCAGTTATTTGGAGGCATCAGCCACCCAAATTGGCAGTTTATCTTCAGTTTGTCTCATTTCTTAGTCTGTGGACTGAACTCTAACACACGCAGTCAGTCAGTGCAGTAAGAAACACAAAACAACCCAGCAAGGATCTCTTGAGGTCACTAGAGAAAAAACTCTTTGCAAGAAGGTTGCCAAGAAATCAACAACACCAGAAGACAAGAAGCAGCACAGCTGAGTCTCATATTCTGGTCTATTTCACAAGTAGCCTAGCAGAGGAAGGTATTTAGACCCCAGCAATCCATGCAAATAAAAACTGATTTACACAAGTACTCAGATGAATCTAAGCCTGCAAATAGATAACTAGGATCTTCATTTGACCTTTGCAGGTGACATGCAACCTGTATAAGGTGGAGAGGTGGTTAAAATTTTGGAGACTAACTAAACCCATTGGTTCTAGCAGCACAAGCTAGAAAACAAGTAGCCTTAAAACACCAAGAAGTAGAAAGTGTCAGGAGCATAATAAACCAATGCAAGTCCCTACAAGCACTCTTTTATCAGAGGACGGTGAGCACGGAGCCTAAAATGAGTTGCTTTGGCCTGGGGAGAGGTAGGGTGAGATACAATGATTCAGTGCTTTTTTTCCAGACACGGTCCCCACAGCTAAGCGGAAACAGTTTGAATCCTACCCTCCTGCATGATGGATAGTCCCCCAGCAAACAGGATGGCTTGCCTGAGGCCAGGCAATCTGTGCCGCTAAACGGGAAGCAATCTGTTGAACAGAGCGAGAACAAATAGATATAACTCTCTTGCTATGAAAAGGGGTGATTGAAAGAAGACATGGGAGAGGTCCATTAAATTTGATGTAGTGACTATTCATTATTCTTCACAGGATGGGAAGTAGGGGACACTGGTGGCATGGGCAAGCTCCAGGTTTAGAAGGAAAGAAAAGGTGGTCCTTTGTCCTCGACGCACGGGGTGACACTGTGGAACTTGTTGCCACAAGATGGTGGGACTGCCACCATGGTTCAAAAAGAGATCAGACTGATGCAAAGAGAATGGGGCACAATGGCCTGGATGCTTCATCTAAACTGATGATTTTCAGAAGCTGGAAAAACGAGGAAAAGGAATCACTCTTGGTTTTTTTCCCCCTAAGCATTCCCTGCTGCTTTCTGCTGGAGCACACAATTCCAGATACTGAGTTAAAAAGATCTTTCATACAACCCGATATGACAGGTTCTATGTGTTCATGTCTATCTTATTTTACCTTTAGGACATAAAAAGGTGATAATCATTCTTCAGGATGATTACTTGAGAACCATGTTCAAGTGAATATTTACAAACTAAAGTATCAATCTCATCACTTCTGTACACAGGTAGGAATTACCCTGAATATCTAAATAACTATGAAACATTGCTGACTGGTTTGCATTACTTGCAAAGACTAGTCTCAGGAATGTGGGAACGTTGAGAATATAGGATAAGAAAAATACAGTTAAGAATGTAAGGTCAGGGAAAGTGGCATATCTAGAAAGTAGCTGCCAATAAGAGGATAAAAAAATACAAACTAACAAATATTTAACCATGTGCCATGAACAGCAAATCTCTTTCTTGTCCCAACTAGTGATCAATTTATGCATGCAGTTTATGCAGTAACTGCTACTCCTTGCAATTTTAAACTAGTCAATATAACTACAGAAAACACCCCTGTGTGTGAGCTACTGCAGAGTGTCCAAAATGCAATTTGTAGACCACAGAGTTTTTCCACAGTTTGAGCCGATTCCTCCTCATTTTCAGAGGCCAAATCAATCTACAATCCAGCTAAAATATTTTATTAAGTTTTTTCTGTGTGGAAAGAGGTGCAGAGACATTGTTTAAGCACAAATGGGAAGAGTGGTCTACATGCCCACGGTAGACGGAAAGGCGATGGAAAGCTTCCCTCTCACCTCACTATGAGGAAAAGGACCCAGAATATTGAAGTTATAAAGCAAGCTGTTAAATCCAGGACTATTCTCAGATTTTTACCTGGAGTTGGCCTCAGTTCTAGAAACAAAATGAAGAGTTCTTTTTTTTTTATTATAGTATAATCACCAGAAAAGATTCAGCATGTTATTTAAAAATGCAGTCTAATAGGCTGTTTTGGGAATCGGCCAGTATCTAGTCTATAAACAAATCTGGTGCACTCAAAAGCTGCAAAAGGGTGTTTTTTCCTCTCAATGCATTCAGTTAGTTAGAGCCCAGGAAGCGCATATCTTAGAGGAAGACGAAGGAAGTAATATCTTTCCAACAGATCCTGACCTGTGTCTACATATTTTCAGGGTATTGTAAGAAGCTGCCCTTACAAAGCCAAATACTGACCTTTTAATCTCCCTCAACTTCCCAGGAGGAAAAGAGCTTCTCTGTGTTTTATTAATGGTCAGAGCTGTCACTCTCCTTCCAGAAAGGAGCAAGCATGGCAAAAGAAACAAGCAAACATTCACCACTTACTATGGGTTTCCTATATTTGAATTCTCTGTCCCTACAACCTCTCCATAAACAAATACCTCACAAGAAGCAGATACAAGCAGCGGGTCTGGCAGTGTGTGATATTGACTTACATATGCTGTGAAGCGTTGGGGTAGAGCTCTGAGAACTGCGGTGCCGAATCCTCGGGGCCATGGGGCGCAGCGTGGCTGATGACCATCATTATGGGCCTATGGGGATATATCCTCTTAGACATTCTGAAGTAATTAATGCTCTCATTAGTGATTAGGTCTGTGAAGTAGTCCTGGAACATACGATTAACACAAAGCAAAAGTTACAAAGTGCATGATTAATTAGATCACATACTATCATGTTATTATGTTATTTTCAAGTCCTCATTAAAGCTCAGATCAGGAAGTAAAAACACACCATCAAAGAGATGTATGATTCGAGGGAGCATAGGGGAGACTGAGCAGTAATTACTTTCTTAAGCAGGCGAGGGCACATAAAACGAGACAGTATTTTGCAAATCAGATACAACAGAAGGCATTAAGTAAATATGATTACCAGATTTTGTAATATAATGCTAAGTAACATTTAAAATGACAGACTATACTAACAAAGATATGTTTCTTGAATTTCACTGATAAAACACTTTCACAAGATAATGGCTCCTAACTGCAAGAAATCATTGACTCTTACCTTGGTTTTTTGTTTACATAAACATTTCTTGCGTGCTCTTTGTTCAGAGTATACTTTTGCATATGTACAAAGTGGAAGAAAGCTACAACAGGCAACAGATTGCAAAAATCTTTATCAAAGAAATTGCACATGCGAATGCAGGGAGCAGTTGAATTCCTGCAGGCTCTGTTCGTTTAATTGTGCAACTTTAAGCAGTGCAGCTGCTGAGATTAAGGTTGTGACTTGCTAATAAACTGGCTTAACCCACAGCCAAGGTGGCAAATGGAAGCCTACAAGGCGAAGGGAGGAAATGGAACTAAGAAAAAAAGATGAAAACTTAAATTAAACCACCTGCCACCTTGGAGCATTCACTGTTGGCCTGGAGGTCTAGTGCGAGCTTCATTGAGAAAGTGCTGAGACAATGTTTGTAATTTCAAGCACTTCCAGGCATGACTAATCATATGTTGTGGATTCGGGGCCCCGAACAGCTGCAAAAGCAGAGCCTGAGGGACAAGGTCTGTGTCGCATGTCGGTGCTAGGACAAGCCAGCCAGCTGTGACCTCCTCGCTTGCCCGCTCCCTGTCCCCCTGCCCCTTCCCCTCTCCTGTAGCACGCTCGGAGCACACACGGTAGCCCTGGCTGCTACAATCCTTGCAGGGATATGGAAGAGACAGCGAGCAACCTTTTGGTGTACAAAATGGGTAATGAGCGCGAGGCACCAGTGTTGTGATAATTTCTGGGTTTGTGGCCTGTTCAAGTGAAATGCCTGTATGACTGCTTTCCCAAAGCATCCACTCCTCTCCTGTTTGCCTATTTATTCTAGCTACATACACAGGGTGTGTAAGGAATGTATAACTAACCAATATTCCTTATTTTCTTTTTTTTTTACTCTATATAAATATATAATTAGTAACATGTAATTTCTACGGGTGGGGAAATCAGAAACAGGCATCGCGAGCTTCCAATAAAATCTCATTACATGGGTCAGAAACCACAGCTGCAACATCTGTATCATCTTCTGTGAGCTACAGTCTGAGGAAATTCCAGATTGCTTTCTGCAGGCTGGAAAGTCTACGACCTGTGCTCCTAAGCCTTTCTGAGAAACTTCACAGCAGTGGGCAGGTCACCTTGGCATACTTTCCAAACTTTGTGAAGAGCAGAAATAAGCTCTGAAGTATTCCAACGGCTGTGTTCTTGCACTTATCCATTCTCATCCTCATATCCGGAGTCTGACACCACAGGCGCACAGCCTTTTTTTGTATGTGCGCACTGTATAATGGAAAACAGCATTAACTAAGGTTTCTTATGTGGGTAACAACTGAACACACTCAGCTAACTTTAAAGTTCAGTAGTGCAAGGGGCACGATTATTTTTGGGAAAGGCCTTTATTTACTATTTGCTTCTGCCACAGAACTATCACTTTCTAGCAGAGAGAGGGAGGGAGGAATCACCAGGCTGCACTGAAGAGCCCTCGGAAACTTTCTTCTGTTGTGAGATTAATATTCTCACATGGAAATTGATCTGCAATGCCCTGGAGAGAAAATGACATCTCAATTTCTTGGTTGTAGTTGGTTAATTAATTAATTATCTTGTTAATTAATTATCTGAAAGTGATTTTTATATGGATTAATGATGCAGCATTTACGTGTCTGGAAAATACCTTTGCATAATCAAATCCATGCTTCTCTTTGTTACCATTGCGAGAAATGGTGTAATTATAGAAGCGAGAGTTCTTCACTAATCCAACCCACTCTCTCCACCCAGGAGGGATGTAGCTGCCATTGTATTCATTGAGGTATTTCCCAAAAAAAGCTGTGAAGGTAAAAAAAAAAAAGAACACACACACACACACATGAGGCTTTGCAATCCAAGTCTTTTAGTCTGAGTCAAAAGCATGCATGAATGAAGATAAAATGTGTTAGAATGAGTCAGAGTTGCTTTATCAAAAATGTTCCTTTTATACCTTAGAGGGTTTTCAAATTAAAATAAGCTATTTCCAGAGTTTTTATGAAAGTTGAAAGCTTTTGTGACTTTAGGTTTTCTTCTTAATCTTTTGGAATTTAGTGCTCACATGAAATATTTTTGGTTTTTTTTTTAGAATGAGTATGTTTCTCTTGGTTTCCACTTGAAAATGGAATAAAAACTCAGTGCCCGGAGGAAACATCTGAGAAACACCTTGTGGTTTTAAGCAAGTCCTGTGATGTTTTGGAGCTCGGCTTCTGACTTTTGAAAGTTTGGGCTTAGCGACCTGGCTATGTTCGCTGGTTTGATAAAAGGTCTGGGAAGTCCAGACCTCTGTCCCACTGGGCCACATTTGGGTAGAGCAAGAGGAAATCCCTGCCCTGCTTGGCTACCACAGCTTCTCTAGGGCAAAACTAACGAAGAGACAAAGACTTGGAGGTCAACTACCTCTACCTGGCCTGCCAAACTAAGTGTATTTTTTTTCATTAGCTCCAGGTGACAAGTCAGAACCCACTCAGACTGAAACTTTCAGCCTTTGCCGTCGGGCCAGGGAGGGTTTGCTGGTGCTCCTGCCAATTCCTCTGGAAGGAAGTAAAAAGGAAAACAATCTCACAATGCAGCGGGCTCCCAGCTATCTGGGAGTTGTGAATCGCTTGTGCCAAAGATACACAGACACCAAAAGCTGGCCAACTGGCTTTGGGAGGGAGGATTAACGCTGGCATGGTACCCTGGCAAATGCAGCCGTGTTGCTTCTAGGGACAGATGGGTATGGAAGCTCCTTAGCTGCTTGCGTATGGTCTTTGGCCTGGATAAAAAAGTCGGTTTGGATGGCTCTGCCTTGCATTTCCACTGCCTGGGAAGTGTGGTGACAAAACACCTGACTGGGCCTGCAACTTGGGTTTTTAGGGATTTATTAGCTCCGGCTCAGTCCCAGCAAGTTACTGGGGTATCTGAGTAACTTCATTGTTTGCATGTTTAATTTTCTTGAGGTTTACAAGCCCCTGGAGGGTCACCTGTGCCGGAGGTTCTGTCGCCCGTGTCCCCAGCAGTCAGCACAAAGGTACACCCGGTGCTCACAAAATAAGACACCCCTGAAGAGGAGGGAATGACAGAGACCTTTCCCTTTCCAGGGACAGAGCTCCTCTGGGTGATAGCTGCCCACCTCACTGCACCCCTCGTGGTACACCGCTCCTGCCCTCGCTGCCGGCCCCGACTCGGCCAGCCAGGCCTGCCCGTGGAGAGCTGCTGCCCAGCGTCACTTCCTCAGCTGGGCTTTGAGACACACGTCAAACCCCCACACTTGTTTCCTACTAGGAAATGAAATCACTTTGGAAAACCTCACATTCAACCTAGACACATTCAACCTAACCAAAAAAGCACATTTGTGGAAGGGCTTAAATAATTCAGATCTGATTGATGTGGGCATGGTGAGTTTCCTGGGAAAACTGGTGGAAAAATCAAAATGTTCATAATTAAAACTTGCCTGAGGCAACATAAACATGGTGCAATCGGATCATACAACTGCCAACTGTCACTAACCAGAGGTTACAGTCATATATAACGTTACTTTCCTATACCACGTGGAATGTGACATATAAACAAGTCCTACAGACACTAGACCAGGCTTCCAGCTCTTCTTCTCACAGCCACTCAGAAAGCAACCCAGCCGCTCTCCTTTTTTCTCCTGAGGCCAACCAGAAGTCAAGAAGCTTGAGGTGAATACGTGCCCAGCACCGTTGCCTCCCGGAATGGAAACCATACCTCTCCTCTAAGGCAGCCAAACTGGGTTAAACTCTCAGAGAGTCAGATGTCCAGGGAAAGCATAAGGGTAAAGGCTGAAATACTGTGGGAAAGGAAGCCAAGGAAAGAGAAGGGGAAGAGAAGCCAGAGAGAGACAACAGTGAAGAAAAGTATGGGAGAGTGATGTGACCAAGAGAGAGGAAGCATTACTGAGCCAAACAAAATCAAGGACAGTCTATGGTTACAGAGGAGATCTGAGGTCAGCCCTCCTGAATGCCATCCCAGATCCATCAGCAGCTACTGCATGACCTTGGAGAACCTCTGTGTGCTGCGCTCATCTGTAAAGGACTCTACTGCCAACCTGCCTCCCACAAAGATCAGAGGCTTTCAAGCTGTGAAATGGAAGTTATGGCAATTTATCATGTAGGATGATTTGATAGCCCCACCTATAATTAAGATTGACTGAGACCTGAACTCTGTTATTTAGTCTTGCCAAACTTCAATCGTTAGTGATGATAGTTTCCATGCTATCTGACTCAGGCTACATTTTGCTCTATGGAACATTTTAGCCAAAGAGCTCAGCAATTTCCAAGAAAAAGGCTAGGGAAAAATAAATGAGTTTTCCCATTTAAAATCATTGGCAAGCTTTTCTCTAAGAAGTTCTAGTGTCTGTAGGTTTTGATGTAGTGCCTTTGTAAATAACAGAGGTGGCTATGAAAATCTGTCTCAAAATGGTCAAGCTCTGAAAAACTGTAACACACAGATGATCAGGAAAGACTTACTACAGCTTCTCAGTTTAATGTCATCATAGGGTGTTCCTTTATGGACCTGAGAAAGTGCCCACAGTTTCAGTTTTGGCACTAAAACAGAACAGTCAGCTTCTTTCTCTCCTTCTCTCCTCTCTCTTTTGATATTCAGGCATTACCTGAGAGAAAGCCACCAGTGTAAAATGCAGAGATGAAATGACCTGGGGCATAAGGGCAAGAAAAGGTAAACTGAATTTAGAAAAGGAAAAGGAGGCTTGGAGCTGGTGGGGGCCAATTCATCTTGGAATTTCCTTGCTTTAGATTACTTAATTTTCCAACTTTAATAATGTTTTGTTAGCTCCCCTTTGGCCCCCTGAACCCCATATTTTGGTGCATGTTATGAGACTTTGGATTGACAGCCTGAACCATTCACCTTTGTGTTGGCAATGATTTAGTATTTTATCATAAAAATAATCTCAGAGCTGTCAAGTTTTAAGCCGCTCCTTGAGTGACAGTTTGCAGAGATAGATGTTTCCCCCTGTTGTAGAATAAAGCAGTTCCCATGTCAAATGTACTGAATACTAGTAGAAGCAGCGGTAGCCGTGATAATGGATCACATTTGCCAAATTGCTTTAACCAAGAGTGGTTTGTTGGTCAAAAGCTCAGGATGATATGAGTAATTAGAGAGATGAAGGGAAAAGCGAGGCTTTTACTGAAACACAAGAGTTCAGTCCCTTCACCGTGGGATTTTCTGAGTACCACTGAGTATGGGATAGGGCAAGTGAGTCAGAGCTGGAGCCCAGCACCAGCAGTTAGTGCCTGGCTCCTCACACTCTGAATAAAGACAAGTGCCACAGTAAAAGGAAAGCACAGTAGTGTCCATGGGGCCAAATAATAATCAGCAAGTAATCATGACGGATGTCCTAGTTGTTTTTTGTCAACCAGAGGATTGTAAACAATTAAAGCGCTATAGAACATGTCACAGAACTGCCCAGGAGCTGACACCGTGATGTGCAAATGTCCTTGCTGGATCTTCACATGCTTGGCTAGTAGAGTCAACCCACATCCTTAACTTAGCTGTAGCCTGACACTTGCTGAATTGCCCAAGTGTGAGTACTGACTTGGAATGATCAGCTTTAGAAGCTGCTTGCACTCAGCAGTTACAGGGTTTAGGAAGCCATTTCTGCTTGTAATTAATAAAACGGAGATTATGACTCAATGGGTAAAAGCCTCATTAAAAAGTAATGCCATTTCAAGGGACATCTTTTCATTATTGCATGTAATGGCCCCCACAGGGATAACAGGAAAGATAAATGCTGAGTTTTTGCATTTTAATAAGACAGTTTTTATCTGCATTCTGGCAGTTTTGCTAACTGTTCCCAGGACACATTGTTATTTTTTAATCACATGTAGAGTAGCTTAGTATATCAGAATAATTGTATTCTGTGTGAGTATGTTCAATTAAGTTTATGCAAACAACAACACATGGCATGGTGAACAGTTATACACACATCTATGTGTCTCAGGAGTGGCTGCAGAATATACATATATGGTACCTAATATGAATAGGTGCTTTAATACAGGTTTTTGGTTTCCCTTTAGCAATTAGCTAATGAGTCCTGAACTGGACCAAGAGATCCAGGAAGTTCCAATGGGTGCAAGACAAGGAGAATTTGACTCAGGGGATCCCTGGAGTTTGAAGCCAGGATATTTATAGCTGAACGGGATTCAAATTCTCATAATTCCCAGTACTTTTTTCCCCAGTATTTTCTACAAGCATTTATGACTAACGTTTACAGTATTACACAATAGAATTAGTCCCCTAACTCCTGTCAGCATTAGTGGATTAGTGTAAAGGTGAACTGGGCTACATCTATTGGCGAGACATCTCTGCACTTCCATGGATCAAAGGACATATATTATGTTCTGCGTCCTTGTTATTTGTTGAGGTTTATGGGAACGTTTCCGATTTAAAACAAACCCAAACTTTAAAAAGTCATGCTGCAGTAAGGTTTAGTCACCGTGACCCAGACAAGAGCTTTAAGCAGACATCCCACTTCCTTTAACAAAGTCAGGAAACCATTTACAGGAGTTGCGAAGCACTGTTTATATGACATTTCAGGGCTGACACACAGTGATTCTGTGCTTCTGGGGACAGAGCCCAACAAAACTGCAGCTTCCGGATTATTCCAGTAAATTCCTCCTTGCTTTCTTCCCATTATGCAAGCGATAGATTCAAACCCGAGAAGTTTGATTTTTCCCCTCCGTTGAAAAATTACAGAGGATTAGTGTATCACGTCACTGAAGTGCAGAAAGCCAGTTCAATATGCCAGCACTGCCTAGGAAATGAAATAAGCACTGTCC